AGTATTATTATCACTGTTAATGTCTAAAACACATACTTGCTCAAAAATCACTAATGCTCAAAAATTTTCAGTAACCAAATAATGCTCATAAAAATATTCATGGTATTTTTAATAATGCAGCGTTATTTACTTTTAGGCAAGAATATCAGGTGAATAGAAAAAATCCTAAATTGTCAAAAAAAAATTAATCCCGCTAATATCACAAACAATAAACTTTTAACGCAAGATAAAAACAGTATTCAATTTTCTGTCAGTAACTGTTTTGATGCGATCATTTTATTCTACGAAAATTATTATCGTATCATGATTATTCACAGTAGTAGTGAATCGAAATTGGTAAAATGAATCAAGGTGATATTAACAATGCTATAAAACAGTAATATGATCGTCATTATTATTAAATTATTGGTTTATATAGAAACTTAGAAATTAGCTTTTTTTTGCACTAAATTCATTGCTAAAAATCAAAACTTGTGCGAAAAATGATCCAAACTTGCACAGGCTAAGGGTCAGCATTTGCTATAAAAGTGAACTTGACTCTAAAATTAGCAAAAAAACCAAACTAAAATTTGGTTTCGCTGCGAAGAAAAATGTGTAGTGTGAACTTTTTATAGTACTTTTATCTAAATAAACGTTGACTTGCAAACAATTTTTGTTTGATATTGATATCAGTGGAATCATACGTAGCAGAACACTTCTGCTTTTTTATTTCCATTTCTTTCTACAGTTTTTCGGAATACAAGATTTTTCCAGGGAAATGAAATATTTAAAAATCTAACATCCATTTTGTTTGAGCGAATTTGTTAGTTTGAAAAATTGCGAATTTTTTTCTGAACTATCGCAAGTTGCTTATTGTTTTAAGCAATTTTATTGTCGAATATAAAATTGCTATTGCAACTATAAAGCAAAGTTAAATCCATTAGGTCAAATTTTTACTGCAAAATGACCGAACACTTTTCGATTCACTAAAATAGTTCTAAATTACTTTGTAAAATTAATTGAACAATGATTGACTTTTGTTCAAAATTATAAAACCAAAGCTGATTAGATGATTAAAAAGTTGCGAAGTTTTTGTTTGCAAACTCTCTTGCATATTTCAAAATTCATATTGCAAATACTGGAATGCTTCAATCTAATTAATTTCACCGTAATCGAAAGTTGTTACAAAAATTTAAATTTATCTTCTGACCCCAAAATACTTCAATTCTGACATGTCTGACAACTTAGAAATCAGTAATGTATAAAATTGAATAAATAAAGTAATGTCGTGATTTTAGAATCAAATCAAATTTGCTGAAATTACGTCTAAGTCAGATTTTGAAGATGTAGCATTTTAGCATCTTCTTCACTTTCTGAATTGAGTAAGTGAATAGCACAGATGACCGGAATATTTGCTTCAATCGATTGATTACTGCAAAATAGCATAATAACTTATACTTCAAGTAACGAAAATAGGAAGAAACAGGAAACTTTAGACACGCATAATGGTAACACAAGGCGTGACTCATTTGTGGTACAAAAAATTAAGACTTTTGTGCTATTAGACGCTTTTCTGAAATTAGTAGTCGGAAGACGTAAAGTTACTCTCGCGATGTGTGTACATACAATTAAAGAATACATTCTGCGAGCGTTGACTAAAATACTTTTGTCATTACTGTGATCAGAATGGAACTCTGCCGCTATGTAGTGAAGAGTGCTAACTGCGAATAGTTAGTTAGTTATCTGTTGAGCATTATTAGTTTATCAGTTATGCATGCCTTTTCAACATCGGTGCTATTTTTTATCACTTAACTATACACACAAGCATACAGCTCACGCTTTATCACTATAACAGAGCAGAACTCCTCTGCTTGGTACTCAAAAGAAAGCCGAAACATTCTCATGATTTTTACAGTTCTTATAACATCAAACTCTGCAAACAAGCTGACTTCAAATTTTGTTATTTGCATTCACTTTGGCAGTGAATGCACACATACAAAAGTTCCGTGAATCACACTGCGAGTTTATGAAATGCAATACAAAAGTTCCGTGAATCACACTGCGAGTTTATGAACTGCAATACAAAAGTTCCGTGAATCACACTGGGAGTTTATAAAATGACGACTGAGGGCCCATAAAATGATTCTGTTATAAGTTTACAATGTTTACTTCCAATTTTTTAATTTGAAAATGAATGAATAATAAGGCTCTCAAGTAGAAAGATCTGAAATTTGCGTACTCAAAACTAAATCACAACTCAATAACTATTTTTTTTCACTGAATGCAATTTCTCTTCTTTCAGCCATTTTTTTATGTATAATTTTTCCAAGCGCCTCGCATTTTTGACGGAATCCGTGTCCAACGGATGCTTGCCACGTAAATCGTAATGATGCGCACCATCCTGTAATATATAATTTGTACTGTTTAATGCATCACAGTGTGCTTTTTAATGCTTTTGCACTTGTAAACTTCAAAAATAAACACTAAATCATATTTTTTACTGCAAAAAAGAAATGAAAAAATGCAAGAAAAATTCTTTTCCCTCACAAAGCATACATTCTTTGCAGTCAACGAAATTATCAGTTCAATTACTCGCTAATGCACAAGAATTTTATCTTAATACTTTACGCTGTGTACATCTGACCTCAATGATAATGCTCACTAATGACCGTATTTCCTCTGATTTTTGTGACCAGCCCCCAGCTGACCAAGGATCCAAATATCCATTACTGTAATTACAAGCATTTTACAACATTTGTATTCATTCTTAGACACTCACAAATAACACACTGGTTTAGTGAACATTGAAAAAAAATACAAGAAAGAGTTTCACCAAATACTTCACTTCATATTGCTGGTCATCAGTCATGAATATATTCAATATATTGTAACTTTTTATTCTATTTATCAAATTTCTTCCTCTGTTAAGTGAAATCACAAACTGAAGCGAAACGTCAGCGTTTTCAATTTAACAAAATTTAGATGCAAAGAATAGAATCGAATAAATTTTCAATTATTAATATTTATGTAATCAAAAGCAATAATTACTTCCTTTGCATCATTCTAATGCTTTAGTCGAAAACTTCTTAAAATGATATGGCACTCAACTGCTACTGATTTTATCAATTTGATATTTTTGTGTACAGTAGTAAAGACCTGAAAATAATATTTGTGGCAGTTGGATATTGGTGCCCATAGTTTAAAATTGTCCAGTGTGGTCGCATTATACTTTTCGTATATCCAATCTTGCCAAAAATTTTCTTACAATAAGTAAGTTGACCTGAAGAGCACCAGCATGTTTCGATAAACTCAATGAAGTTTAAATCAAGCAAAGTAAAATAGAAATCTATCCAGATTTAAAGTAAAGATATTGGCTGAACTGATTAAAAGTTAGGAACACACAATTTTCTATTAATTGCAATATCTCTACAACATCATATCCCAAAGTTCACCAAGATAGTGACAAATTGTAAGTGACGATTTCTGAGTATGAATTATTAAATTAGGCTAAACCTTCAAGTGTGAAGGGACAGTTCTTGACAAAGAAATCATTTGGTGGTCCTGAAGAACACTGTTGCATAACCATTTCAGTACAAGACTGTAATCATGATTATATTTTATTTAATACCCTAAATATTTCATCAAATTGATTACTTAAAAAGTAACGAAATTAACTTAAAAAAATTTAAAATTGATATTTAATCATTGCATGATTACGTATTTTGAACTTCACTTTTCACTCTAAATTGTTATCGTAGTCATAACGAAACAAACTTTATTATCACAGCTACAAATACAATGCAGTATTAATAAACCGATTTAAATCCAGAAAGCAGTTGTTAGCTACCTGCCAAGGCCAGCCAAATGGATCACCGAGAGCTGCATATGCCGAATCATCACACACAATCGGATTGATACAAAAAGTCTCTCTTTTGCCAGTATAGTTATAATAGAGATTCATAAGAGCATACATACTCTGAGCAGATTCTTCTGCGCTAACTTTCTGGGTACTATTGAAAAATCCACATGCAACCTAATAACTCCAATTGATAGACGAAAATAATCAAGGAAAAGTAAATAAAATATTTCAGATTCATAAACATTTGTTATTCAATAATATTTGACAAATAATTCTACCAATATCAAATTTTTCTCAAAAATTCTTGTTTTTCAGCCACATTATGAAGTATAAGCTCTAAATTTGTATGACACAAAAGTGTTTGTCAGACAAAAAAATGGTTTTTTTGACTGCTTATTATATCCAGTTAATTTAGAATAATAAAAAAAACCTTCACAGGCCATCCAGGAAGTTCTGTGAGATAGTTGCTTGGGTACGGATAATTTACCATAGCCATCGACTCAAATATCTCTTCAAGATATTCTCGAAGCATCAACCAATCACTACTTTTATTTAAGTGTGATTTTGATTCCAAATGAAATAAACGATTCAAATAATCAAGACCAGATGCTAAAAAAGTAATGACAAAGAATAATTAATAAGTTTAGAATTGAAAAAATATTGAAATCATAAAGAAAATATTTTTAATAATATTCTAACATTTGCAGAAAAGTTACACATATAAAAACTGCAAAAATCACAACTTGAGCAAATGGAATTTACATATAAATCTGCTTTGGTTAAAGAATCTCTGGTTAAAATTTGCTTAACTTCTAGAGCCCACCTGAAGATGCCAGTTTCTCGAGAGCACTCCAAGCATTTATGATGTTCTGCTCTGCACAGCCGGAATTCAAGAATGATCGCTTGACAACGTGACTGTACGCATCTTCTGGAACTGACATGTCAAGAAACCAGAAAACCGGAGCACTAGATGCTATCGAGCTGCAAAATAAGCTCTTCTATTTTGACCTTATGCCTTTTCTGCAAAAATCCTTCATTAATTATCAATTGCATCTCAAGAGTAATTTTGAGCAAAAAATTAAATGAAGTGAATTATGAGTAATGTATTGAAACTGTACCCTTGGACCAAATGTGGATATTTTATACGCATCCATGCTGAAAGCATTCCACCATACGATCCACCAAACGCAATGACCGGTGACCTCCGAGCATTCAAAAGACGCTGTTTTAAAAATTTTGGTAGTAGTTAAGGCTGAATAAACTGAGATTAGAGAAGAAAACTAATTTTACAAGAAAACTAGGAAATGAAACAGATTATCTTATTTGGAGCTAAAACCAAGCAGGAAACTGCTTTCTAATCAGCTAGCTTTTTCAACAATTGAATATTTTATTGCAATAAAATTATTTACTCAAAATAACTTTTAGATAAGTGAAAGTCTTCACTACAATTATTACCAGTGCATTTGCGTTTAGATATTAGATATAAGTAAGTTTGTTAAAAGTTAAATCAAACAAACTACAATGAGCTTTTGCTTTGATACGGAAACTTTTAAGTCGAGATAGATTATTTCAATGAATACACTTGTTAATAAGTTCAATTTTTTTCGGAAAACCGCAAAATTTCAATGGCATCACGTAAAATTGACACTGACTTCAGTTTTGAGAAATCGAATAAGTTCAGCAAAGTCAGCTAGTGCTTGCTCTGACGATAAATAGCCAACATTGTTCACTCTTGCATAACTTTGAGCACCAAATGGTTGGGACTTGCCGTAGAAACGATGTTCAGCAAACACTACTGCTGCACCGAATAATGGTGCTAAATCCCACATCAAACCCTAAATATTGCATACTAAAATTGTTTTTATTAGTCATAATAATTTCATCTGTCAGAATCAGATTTAACATAATTATTTTGACAACAACAAACAAATAATCAATAAGTCTCAACTAAGTTACTCTATTTTGAGGAGTTAGTTTCTGTTGTCAGTAAATAAATATAAATCATTATCCTTTATCGTATTACTGTCTGAAAATGCTAATTCACATCACATGACTTGAAGTGAAATAAATCTTTAGCTTTTAATACTTTGCAACACGTGGCTTCGAAAATGAAAATGAGAATCTTATATTGCGACAAATATTATATGTATATTATATGTAGAAAATTTTAAGACAATTGTGTTATTAAGAAAGCAGTTTTCTCTTTGCTGAAGTAAACAGTACTGGTGAGAAAATTAATTAAGTGAGAAGTAATCGAACGATATTTAATTGAGATTAACACGTCATCATCACGTATTAATTAACAATTTTGCCTGCTGACTTTTGACATAAAATTGTTTTTTTCCACTTATATGTTAAATTAACTAACTGTGTTCTGTGCAAATAACTCAATATTTCCTTCATTTCCAGTATAAAGAAAAATAGGTCCATTGGTCAAAAAATGATCGGTATTGATCAAATAACTAAAATTTTATCATTAATTAGCAGAAATAGCTCTGCAAATTTAATTCTTTGGCAACTTTAATTACAGTATAAAGCTTGAGAAATTAATAAAACAATCAAAGCTTTTGACTATTAATGAAAAGTTGAAGTAATTTAGAAAATAAAATTAAAATCATCCGCCATTATAGTAAATTTCAATACTGAAAATCACAGAAAAATCACCGTAAGCGGAACGTTTGATCATTAGAAAACGAGAAATGATCCACTGGAACATCGTAGAGCCATTCCTCTGACCATTTGTAATTTTTTGCACCATTCTAAAACGAGAATTACTGCCTGACCTCTTACCTTTAAGCAATTTTGAAAAGTTGAAATGTCAACTCTGCTTCTGACTCAAGCACGATGAAAAATTACCTCAACAACGCTGTTGTCGGAGGGAATATACGTAACAGGATCTTTGTGCAAATGCAAGCAAAAACAAGCAGACAGTGCTGCAGAAGCAATTAATAAAAGTAACATGCACTTATCATTGCAATACATTTCTTTGAAACTCTCAACTTCTCTGGAAGTTTACCACTTACTAGAAAAAATATGTAATTTTATTACAAGTTTTATAAGTATTTCAAAATTAAGCTTTAACCTCAAATTCAAACCGAGTTTTTAGAATACAAAAATCCGCGGATATGAAAATCATATCTAACACTTCAAGTCTTGAAGCCGCTATCAAGATTCCGATAACTAGTTTACATGAAATCAATCAAGTCCAGAAGTAAATGACTGCTACCATTTTGAATCAAATGAATGAATGAATGAAACTGAAACTACTCATGTAAATAATATTAGGTAAGCTGCCTAAGGAATGGCAATAGACGATAGGCAGCAACTTTGACTTTGAACAAAGTCAAAAGCAGTTGTTCTAACAAATGTTGCTGCTGGTCGGTGCAAATTGATCAACTGCAACGAAAGGTCAAAGTTCACACACTAGCTTTATATAATTCGAAAAATTACTTTCTCGACCAGCCAAAGTGCTCTTAGTAGGGAAACCTCTGTCAGAAATGCTGAAGTTAAAGGCAACATCCAATGACAACTTTGTTTGTTGTTGACTGCTTTTGACCTTTTCATTTGTTTTTGACTTATATTTTGCAGCAGTAAAAATAAAATTTTTGAAATTGTTCTGCACTGCACAGTAATGACTAATTGAATAAGAATGATCACAGTAGATGTTGATTAACAAAATCTTTATTTATTTTCAGCAATCAATGAAGATTAGCTATTATTACCAGACGACAAATCATGATTATATTTCATATATTTGCAAGTACTTCAGATAAAAATATAGTTTAAGTAATTTTTAATGAAATTGTTAAGATAATTTTTTGTGATAAATTTTTGCTAAACATCAAGTGAAGGTATTGTTCGATTTATTGATAAACTTATTAGAGGTACAGAAAATGAAGTTAAAAGTATATTATAACAAATTGTCTAAGAATCGCAGTACTTCCGAAGATATAATTTGATGTCTTTTAGGTGGCCACGTGTAGTAATATCCTCACTGCTGCACGAAATGATTATCTGAAACTATGTGTTATATGACATGGCTTAGGCTTTTGAGTAAGATGATGCTAATTATAATAACACCAACAATAATGATCTGATAATAAGAAATACTGATTTAGACGAGATGGATGTTAATAGAATACAGAATTCAAGAAAGGCATTAAATTCAAACCAAATTCATCACTGTTAGAAACAAAAAATACTTAATAACTAAATTTATTAACTCCAAAAAACTCTTCAAAAAGTCAGTGTAAATTTTCACTGTTCACTGTTTAAGAATGTGCTTTAGCTTAATTGTTTCCGTGTCAAACTGTTTTCTACCTCTACCGATTGTTATTATGAATATCATTCATTAATATTAAAAACAATATCTGTTTTAAAAGCTTTACAAGGATTATTTGAAAAAACGACGCTGTAATGCACAAAATTTCAGAAGTACAATTCAGATTGATTAGCACAGATGTTTTGAATGAAATTTATTGTGATAAATTTTGATTGGCGAAGCAAACATTTATAGCGATAAAGTGAGTAATTAATATTCTTAAATGAGTCTGTTTCTTTTGGGAAGAAATGGACACTTTTTTGGATTTCAAACTCACATCTCGAATTTTATTCGGAACTATTTCTGGCTCAACAAACAAAGGATTCTCAATGCGATATTTACGACTTTGTATATTATTCGCGGGTTCATCTTCGAAAGGCAGCATTCCACCGTGGAAAATTGACCAAAGTATCATACCGAAGGAGTAAATCATCCCAGATGTGGTGTATGGCTCTGGTTTATGCTTGCTTATTGGTAAGCATTCTGGTGGTAGCCATCTGTGATAGTTACCATTTATTTAACATACGATCTTTTATTGATAAATAATTATAATAATTATAATTAACTTAAACTTAAACTTAAACTTAACTTAACTTAAGTCAAGGTCACTAACTTAGGATAATTATTATAATATAATTCAAGCTGTATGCAACCAATTTTATTGCAACTTTGCATAAAGCATTCAACTAGAAAATTCAAAAAAAAACTGAAAGTCTGAGACTAAATTATCTTAAACATTTTGTAAGTAGCCAATAACTTTTGTAAGATGAAATTCAAACAACTATAACAAAATTCTTGCATACTGTGCAAACAAGCCTGTTTTACCTGCAGTGATCAACGTCGTCAAGGTCACTAACTTTAGGATATAATTCACCAGAAGTCAGTCCATAAATAGCAATTTTGACATTGTATTTATATGTTAATAAACAAATATCGATTGATAAACGATGATGGATGAAGCCAAACTTTTCAAGATCTCGAAGACCTTCCACAATTTGTAGACCAAATTTATTGAGCTAAACAAATATTATGCTATTCTTAAAATTCAAGCAGATGAGACAGAACTGTTCAGATGAGATTAAATTGAATCGACTTAAAAATTTTTGCCAGCAACTTTGAAAAAATACTGCAAAATGGCTGCCTTTGCTTGATTTTTCTTCATAATAAGCTCTTTGAAGTGCTCATAATGCTTGTCTTTCTCAGAAATAACCACAAGTCATTTCCCTTTCATAAATGGACAAAAATATTTTTGGATCGAAAAATATTGATTGATCAAGAAAAAATGCAAAATACTTGAGTTTGTGGTGGAGCGCTTGTTCGAATAAACTCTGCAACAGAACCATAAATAATGTCTTCAAGAATTATGGAAACGGTTTGGTTGGGATATTCACATACGCCCCATAACCGCCAAATCCTTCTAAATTTAATTAAAATATTTTGTACTTGTTTGATTCTTTTGTTTTAATAAAAGTATTAATTAAATGCTTATTTGTAGCAATGCAATCACACTTTGAGCTCTTCAAAAGATTTATTTTTAAAACATTAAATAATTATTTATCACAAAATTTATTTCTTTCGGATTAATATGTTTACAAGTGTTTACACGTCTTAATTTGATCTCTTAATTTTTGAAAACGAGCTACATTTTTATCGAAATATATTTTGCGATGGAATAAATTCTTCTCAACGAATTAATCCAAACGTATAAAAAAATGTTTTGTATCCGAGTGGATGGATTATTGCATTTCTTTTCCTTTGCTTACATCAAAAGACAAGAAATTACTGTTTGATAAAGTTTGAAAATGCATCTTTTGCGATTTTATCGGTCAAATATGCAAATTTTAATAAACTTTTGAGAGCATAAAGTACACTGTGCCGAACTGTCGGAGTTTGTGTGCCTCAGTCAGCAGAAGTTGAACTTCGTCAGGACTGCAGTCAATGATGCTCAATTCCATTACAGGTATCCATCGTTTGAGATCAAAATTTAAAGTTTTTTGAGAAAGCTTACCCAGCGGAAATAATACATTGTTTATTGGAAATGCGTGCTGTGGTACAATCGCCATTTTTTTGCTAAGCTAAAACAATTTGAACTACCATCAGTTAACCCTTGACCTTTTGATAATATGCAACAATTTTTTTGGTTTTTATCGACTTTTTCTACAAAATTGTGCATTGCTCACCACGCAATTCATGCAAGTATTACAAAACGCTTTTATTTAATAAATTCGTTCTGTAATTATTTTCTGAGCTTTTCAGCCTAATGATATACAAATATTAACTAGTTTCAAATGGTTCAAGGACTCAATAAGATGGAAAAATTTGAACTTGCTGAGGATGAATATGCCACGGTCGTTCGATAGGTTTCAAAAGCCGGTTTTGAATATATCCGAATAATGTCATGCTTTTGTCACTCCAAATTTTGAAGGTTTTTTGAAGATAAACTACCTAAGTTTGAATTTTTACTGCAGCAAATATTACTGCAAAACATAAAAAAGACAAATCGAAATCACACAAAAATTTTAGATTGAGAGATATTGCAACAAAGAAGGCATACCTTAACTTTTAAAATGACTTCTGACGGTTCTAAAACGACTAAATACCAATTTGATGAAGGATTAATTGCATTCTTCGTCTTCGGGCATGATATCAAGAAAGTATCACCTAAATTCAGCGCCAAAATATTTTTAATTGAAAACTTCATCTCAAATGGCATATTCTGAATTTTCTTACAATACATTTCCTTAGCTGTAATAAACGTTATCAGAAATAATTCTCTCTTGTTTAGATTCAGATTCCTTTAGTTTTTTCCAAAGTTAGAAAAAAAAATAGATGCCTTCAGCTGCAATGAAAATTATTTTGCAAAACAAAAGCCAAATAATATTGCCGAAAAGAAGAGTTAATGATATAATCGTACACACTGAGGTAAATTTCGAAAAAATAAGCAAAAGATTAAAATTATATAGAAAATTAATACGGAGCAATCAAATTGAGATTTACCAGGTTCAGCTAATAGTTGTGTCTGCAAATCATCGTCATCAAGTAAACTACCAAAAAAGTATGGTATTCTCGCCAACATTTCTTGAATCCTACGCATACGGTAATTTACATTAGTAGTGGGTACTGCCCAACTCATCAGGTCACTGGCGCTACCGTCGCTGCTCTTTCCAGCTTGCTCAGGAATACTGTCAGTGCAGGCGCAAACTGCCTTACTGCAATATATTATGTACTGTAAAGTGTATTTGCAGTGACACATCTATCATTAAATGCTTTTTAGTGTAATCTTTAGAATTTGTGTGGGAATTGACTTTCCTCTGTGATTTCTTTCTAAAGTTTCAGCACCAATAATTTTACTGCATTTCTATGTGGTGGATTTATTAGGTGCGCAATCTTCTGCATGATTTTATATCTTTCAATCAATAATACCTATTTCCGCAAGATTTATTCGTTAATTTCCTTAGTGTATAAATGAGAGCAGAAAATTTGAGGTTCTCTTCACTGCAGTCTAATGATTACGATTTTTGGGTATCTAATTTTCGAATTATTTAGGCCAAAGGTTTGGTAGGAGACCAATTATTTGCAGTATTATTGCAAGGGAGGACTAAACCTGGATTACTTAATATACACATGTTACTTGCAATAATTTGGAACTGTGGTGAAAACCTTGCAATTTAAAGTGAATAAAAGTATGAAAGAATGAAAATTTCTACAGCATTGGGCCACAATTATTAATTAGCTACTAAGCACTAAGAGTTAAGATCTGATTTCATTAATTAAATACTTAAAATTGAATCGACCTAAAATGTATAATCATTTGAGTGAGAATATTTTGTTACTACAACAATGTAAGGAATTCTTTCACTGTAAACTGCAAGCTCTGCTATCTGAGCTGACAACACACAAGAACTGTAAAAGAGAATCTTTTTTTGCATAGATCTTTGCACTGTCAAAATATATAACTTGGAAAAATAACTTTCAAGATTGTTCTTAACGTAGAAATAAAAATGAGACAAAAAAAGCGGAAATTATTTGGCGTACGCTTCTGTAAAATGTGTTTGAAAACAGTATGATTACCGCAAAGTATTTTATACAAAAAACTTACAGTCAACATATCGAAATAATAAATTATAATAACTTAAAAAGACGAACTGATCACATATTATATTTGTGGCGATTATAGATCACACGCATACTTATAGCAATAAAATGACAAGTACAAATCACTGCAGTAAATATAGGCACAAAATATGGGAACAACTGTGGGACAAATCAAAATTTTGCGTTTAAAAATACTGGAACTGAAATGAGTCAAAGGAAAGAAAGGATTAATGCTAAACCAAGATAAACCTCATATGAGATATACTCTGCATTTTGAAGTACAGTTTGCAACTTTTATAGCAAACTACTGTGCTACACCGTTAAATATTATCGACCGGACTACCAGATTCTATCCGATTGAAGTAGCAGAACGACGCCTGAATAGCCAGCTTTGAAGCAAACTTTGAGATGTAAATTATTTCTGACTTGTAATCCCAAAATTGCTACAAAATTTGCACTCTACCATGAGAGTTAGATTTGAAACATTCATCTACAGGTATCAAATCGTAGGTTAATTACTGCAGCTGTTAACAACCTCACCATACCGATTTCTGCATATTCTCTTTTACTGATGGATGAACTGGCATTAAATTCACCTCTCATTGAATCTTATTTCATTTTTGATGCTACACAACCTATAAAATACTACCGAAATTACTGAAACAAAACCAAAAAGAAACTTTGTCACTAACAGATGCACAGTATTGTGCCTGAACAAACTGCTTTCAATTTTTCTTTGAAAACGATTCTGCGAAACTTCTACAAGGAGATTTCACAGAACTGTCTGTAAAATGAAAAATGCATTACCAAGTTTTATTCAATGAATACCAGTACATTGCTCTGCATTAATACATCCTAAAATAAATTATCAATACATCTTAATATATCAATGATTAATGGTAAAAAGACACAAAAAAGCAAAAAATTGAAGTAGAATAACCACAAACACAACTTAACTTTCACTCTCAAACATGTAACAGTCACTCAATTACATCACATCATCCTTCCGCTTCCGTGTTTTCTACCTTACGATAACTTGACCAAATAAATAAAATACTTAATTAATCAGAAAAAGCGCTTTTTTATTCTCTGCTACCATCATATACATAGAGCAGCTACTTCACACATTACTAAACACATTCAAAACATGCCAAAAATTTACAGAAAAAAGCTAGTCAAGCACACAACCAATACGAATTTGAGTACAGGAGAAAAAGTGAAGAACAGTCTCGAATTCCGCCCTGTTGTTCATTTTACGGTATTTTCAGTAAAATATTCCTTGAACAGCATTAGCAGCACCAAAAATATTGGAATTCAGTAAATTGAAAGAAAGACAGAAAGCAAATAAAAGACGAAAACTTACACTATACGCTTTTAAAACAAAGTACTAAGCAGTTATCAAATTGAATACATTACAAATTATTTAAGTACTACGATCAAATTTTAGAAACTTCGAAGCAGGAAACAGGGACAAATAATACAGTTACAATCTAAAAAACTACTAATAATATGAATTAGAGAAACTTCATGGCTTAGATGTTATTTCACTATTAGTGAAGCTACATTTAAATTCTAGACACCTAATTTAACTATCATATTTTTCCTATATTTTGTGCAATATTTTATTTCTAAAATAACTTAATTTTGAATGGAAAAAAACTTGACTCTCAAAGAACTGATCTGAAACATACTTATCATCAAAATACGAAATTAAATATTCATGCATGCAATAAGTAACATTTTCTGAAAAAGGAGACTAAGCCAATCATGTAAAAGACAAAAAGCTGAAAAATATAGGAAGAACTTGATATGTAATCAAAAGTTGTGGTATGGTGCAGTTGCTGAACATGTGACGCAAATTCGTTCACTACCATCTGATGTTAATACCATACAACGACGACAATGAATTTTTCCACAACGGTAACAATGCAAACGTCGTTCACCACGTGTGACAAATTCTGCACCACAATCTTTATTAGCACATTCATCTGATGTGCGTATTGATTGCCAACGCAAGGCTGGCCATGGACTGTTATTCTCCTGAGACAAACAACACCTTCACATTTTACAGCTGTTATTGAAAAGAAAGTTCTATTCAAAAGTAAACTATGAGAAACACTCTTAGCTTCAAACATGAAAAAGCTAAGCATATTCCTACCATAATTGTCGTATTTTGTTTAGAATAATTAAAAACAAGATAGATAAAATCTAACACTATAAGGAAATGAGGCATCATATATGCCACTTTCTTGAGTATCTTGCCGCTTTAAGCTATCCCAATTATGTTTTTCTTCTTTTTCAGTTAGCAAACAATCATTAGCTAGTGAGATGAGGTCTGAAATCATTTTGTCTTGTAACAAAGACACTTTGAGAATAACTGGAGGAAAGAATTTGAATGTAGTCAGTAAAACTTGCAACTGTACTTTTTACTCATTTTAAATTATTTAAAAAAAAACAGCAAAAAAAAAACTTTGTATCAAGAACCTGAAATTTTTGATGTTGTAGATGTGATACCACTAGAAATACTACTACTGTGTCCACTATCATCCATCAATTCACCTCCAATAGTTTGCTTTTCTACCCCAGTCTTCAGTTCTGCTAATTTCTACAAAATTCAGTGCGTGATTTTGTAACTGCAATTACGTCGATTCATAACATTAAAAAGACATCAAATAAAGACTCAGAAAAAAGACTCATTATCACAAATAAAGCAGAACTATCATCATTCATTGCTACCCAGTGAAACAATTTAATTTTCATTATCCCAAAATTAAATAAGTAAAATGAAGTGAATGCTCACAATTTAGAGTATTATAGAAAACGGCAATTTTATAGAAAATGATTTAAGAAATAAGTAAATATTTCAGCCAAAAAACAAACCACTTGTACAGAGGCCAAATGTGCCTCTAGCACTCCCACATGCTCCATCGTTGATAACGTAACATCATTCGTGTTTTCTCGTGGTAGAAGTCCAGTGTCAAAACGGTTATACATAGCTGCCCAAACACTTAATGATGATGGATGTAAATTCAGAGCTTCCAGAAAACCACATTTATTTGTCTAAAGTATGCAAAACAGTCTAAAAATGTGTCGTTATATTTATACTGTATTTAAAATTTAAATCAACATTCAACAGTACGTACACATGTCCTTTTTATTTCTATTCTACGATAACTACCACAATACTAAAACAAAATTAAATCCTTTATTACTTTCATGAAAGTATTTTGAAAACAGTTCTGACAAATGATTCTGCCCTCCTCTCATACTTAAGATACTCATAAATTTTGAGATAAGTGACTGGATTTCTCAAAATGTTTAAAACTGTCAATTTTTGCATACGCCAATTTTAATAAAAAATTTCAGAATAATTAAAAACATAATGAGAAATATCAGAAACAAAGACTGAACATATTAGGAATAAATTTATATCAGGAACAAAAATACAAAAACTAGCTTCATATAATGGATTGATATAATCGTCGTGACGGTCATCCAAGTATGCCCACAAAGACTGCGTTCGCTTGGATAGATTGAGATCCTAAATATATATGCTAATAAAAATTTGTCGTAATTATCAAAATATGATTGAGCCATATTTTTATAATTTCCTGACTCAACCTACCTTCCGATCTTTGTCACAATTTCCCAGAAAAGTACCATATTGACAAGAGTAAGCATGCTCGTGAATTTGAATCAAATAACGTTCGTTAAATTCAAAAGAACATGGGTATTGTTGCATTATTTGATATGTTGCATCCAAAAATTGTGTAAAAACCGGCGAAATCTCAAAAAAGACCAATTTAAATAAAGGAAAAAGGTCTTAATTTGAAAAAATAGCAACAAATCACCTTCCATATTCTAATATTTCCTTCAAATAAATTTATCCTTTTATTTTCATTAATATTAAGTAAATCGAGAAATATGGATATTTCTGACCAGTGACACTCGAATAAAGTAATGATTATCATGGTAGAAGATTTGGATATTTTGTTATTTAATATCTAAATTTCTGCTTAAAAAAGTGTAGCAATCATTTTTTCCTTGAAGAATTAGAAGAAAAAGATTTGAGGACATTGTTTTTAATAAGTGTAAATAGTTACTTCTCGAGCTGCCTCATCATTAAAAGCACCAACGTGACCACACCTATCATCAAATTTATGGCCAAAACCAAGCCAATCTTTTTCGATCAAAATCTGCAATAATCATGATAAGGTGTCACAAAAAGTAAAAACATGTATTCATCATCTTGTTACCAAAGAATATGCTTTTTAAATTCATATTTAGGTCTTCATCATTGTAAGATATTCCTAAAAGTTACTACAATACTTGCAATTAATTTTTCAAAATGTAGCTTTATTTTTTAGAAATTTCACATATACACAGATATTATTAACAACTATAGATTCATATCAAATAACTATAGTGTATTGGAGAATCTAGCGGTGAATTCAGACTCTTTGTTTTTTCTATTCTTTTAAAATATGTTCTATCCTCTGACAATATATATTAAAACATAAGCAAAATAATTATAGTAAAAAATTTTACTTGAAAACCCCTGATAGTGCGAAAAAAAGGATCTAACAACAACTGTGCAATGGTGACCGATTGAGCCGTACGATCCCAACCATCCGAACAATGCACAACACAGGAAATTCCATGCGCTACTGAAGTAGCAAGAAAATGACCACATTCTAACAAAGCACGAACATGTCTCAACCATCCAGACATTTCCAACTGCTTATAATAATCAGCAATTGTTTTCGTTCGCTGACAAGCTGAAAACTAATTAGCTTAAGTTCAATAAACATAATTGCATTGAAGAAGGACACTCATTTCACCAATGAATTAACGATAAATCAGTACGATATTAGGTAAAATTAAAATATAGCTTTTATTTGCCAATTTTTCTGAGAAAATTAGACTTTTTTCAAAAATCACTACAGTAATAAATTATCACCATGGAGTAACTTGTTCAGACTTGTCCTCATAGTATGTATATTGTCAATATCGAAAAAATGAAATCGTAAATTCGTGTAATTCCGAACATCTTCAAATCCTTTACCTTGCATCTTATTAACCATGGCATTTACCTTACAAAAACGTTAACCATTACTACTTCCAATAAACTTATCAAAACAAGCTGAATGAATACAAACTTTCTGACTCTTTATTTTTGCTTCATTTTGTCTAATGATAAACTATTTCAAGCCTTTATCTTTTACATTACCACCTAAATAACCACATGATTGGATAAACGAATCAATGACAGAATTAAAAAATAATAACAATAGAAAACAAACTCTAGGTCTGGTATCAATCAAATACAAAATTGAACATGAAGGATTTGTTTTTGCTATAGCATTCATCAACATTTCATCCTCTACACAACGTGCACTGAAACCGGTCAAGGGTTGAGCACATCTGAAATCAAATTTGTTGGCAAAATAATATTTTAAGTGCTCACATTCAAAATTCTTTTTTCACTACCATAACTCAAAAGTATATAGTTGTTTAAAATAACTTTATACAATAAAAAGTGTAAAACGGAAAAGACGGAAAACAAAATTTTTTCTCAAACAACTTTAATGACTGAACGTAATGCATGTAATAGTTACATAAAATCCTCATGGTTGAAAAATATGCAATAAATATATTCCTTAATCGACAGGATTGAAAAGGAACCTTGAAATACTGGCAGAATTTTGTCGATAAAAATAAGTGAGTGCAGGAAGACGTGCTCGACTCCGAAATTTACATGATCCTATAAGTGTTTGAGTGGCAGTCGCAGAAGGAACACATATACACTCAGGATAAGTATCACAGTACTGAAAAAATAATGAAAGGATACTTTTCTAAATCTTTATTTTATATGAAAATGTACTGTAAATAAATAGCTTTCTAATACAATTGCTACAAAGCAAATTATTTGCCCAAAAATTAAATTTATGTCTAATCGCCTTCCTTCAGACTTTAAAAATATATCACAATCGAAAGACATTAATCCTAACTGAACTCAATGAACATCACTTGGCCGTTCATCGTTTGTAATAAAAGATTTTTTCCCCATAATAAACAGAAATAGTTTTAAGCACAACTCAAGTTATTACATTTCATAATTTAAAAATACAAAACCTTGTCAAGAGCTTTCCAAAAACTACTATTATTACTACTACTACCATAACAAACACTTATTGCTATAGTAACTGTATTTAAACCTTATATCCCGCATTAAAATTTGTGATTTTCCATTTCTGATTATCCACCGTACCGATACCTTGACGAGCGAACTCAACACTCCAATCGAAACGATCCCAGCCACGTTTAATTGTCTTTGAAAAATTATCTTCATTTCTCTCTTTGTTCTCGAAGGCAAATACGTCCGTTATATTTACTGCAATTCAAGCAAGTTCTTTCCGCATTTTTTTCAACTCAATCTGATCTCAATGAGCAGTAAAATGATAAACTTGGCATAGATAACTGTAGACAAAAATATTTTACTAATCTTTCATTCACTACTGTTCTGGAGATAATTTTCATAATATACAGCAATAACTGAGTACTTTTTTGGTTCCCTCATGTTTCACGAGAAAACGATTTTAATATAAACATTAGATTAATCATTTATTAACATTTCGCTTATTACTGAGAAGAAAAATTACTTTAGACCCATGAAAATCTTTTTAGACCTTCTAAACCTTAATTAATAAAAATACCAACACAGTAAACTAACCAGGTTTGCCACATCTGTTCAGTGTTTCTATAAGATCCTGACACTCGCTATCTCGTGATATTAAAAAAGTTAACGTTAGAAAGTGTTTGCATTTTATGAACAAAGGTGTTCCTAACACGGAAAGTGCACCTTTTTCTACATTCCCTATCAATCCATTTGGAATCTGAAAAAAAATTAACATTTTCACCACATTCCATATCTTTTGTTCTAACTGCCAGATGTAATAATGAAAGAAACGCATTTTCGTTGCATTTAACAAATCTGAAGATGTGAAGTGGAAATGATAACTTAGAATACTAGGACTTTTATCACAGCAAAAAAATATTCAAAATTATTTTCAAAATGGCGAAATAATTGCACCATACAATGCATTCTAAGAATCAGTAACATTTGCTTCAGCATAAAAACAAAGAAGACAAACCCAAATCTCTTTTGCACTGTCTTCAGCTTTAAAAATAACATGTGAAGTAGTTACATGTATAGAACCAATAATATTGGGTTCTGAACCCAGCCGATCAATTAGTTGTACCTTATTAACCTGAAATTCCGTCTCATTTTGACTCAATAAAAATTACTTGGATGAAAATTGAATGAAAAAATAAGTAGCAAAATGCAAGGACAAATTCTGTTGAAACAAAAATCTAACAGTAAACCGCACTGAAGCAGAAATTTTGAAGAATGACAGACTTGATAAATCTCCCTCTGTCCCTTACTCATTTTACTAAAATTCTAATATCTTTAAAAACTTTGAATCAGAGAGTACTACAAATGACAAGAATAAACACATACTTAATAGTAATGTCATCAGTGAAGATAAAAATAGTAAATAGCAACCATACTTCATAGCAATAAATAATAAAAACAGTAAATAATAAAAATCAAAGCTTCAATGTCGAAGTAAGGCAACCGAATCAGAGATAATAATAAATTTACAACAGCAGTTTCATTGCATCTTATCTACTTATTCATCAAAAAATGCTCAGATAAATCAGTGGAAAGATTGCAAAAGAGAGAGAAAAACGAATTCGAACACTCAAAACATAAAAACAATTTGGACTCAAACAAGATTCGTCTTATGAAGCACAGTGAACTGACTTAATTTGAAAATATTCTCGAAACTATGTAAGCATGCAGAAAAAGCATGCAATTCAATTCCAACTGGGCCCTACTCTGAAATTTGATTAACGTTACTGAATATGCGAAAGTAAACAATGATCGCATTCATGAAAAATTCCTTGTACAAAGTTGAATAATATTAGAAAGTATGATTAGTGTTCAATTTGCAAAAACTTCAGACTAATTACTTATTTCAGTTGCATAAGTTTAACTTTTTAAAACAAACTAATCAACCACAGACCATGAGTAACAATCCACAGTCAAATACCAAATTTGCATCATGTAATAATTGTTCATGACCCATTATCGTTTCAAACAATCGTTTACATCCATTAATGATCACTGATCGAGCAATTTCAAATTCATCACTTCTTGTCGTACACATGATTAAATGCAATTTACCTAACAGCATTAACAAATATTTCATTTTTTTCTTTTGAAAAATTCAAATATAACAATTAACAAATGTTGAAACTATAAAAAATCGTTATTTGCTACAATTTTATCACTGTAATGGAAGTTTTTCAACGCAAGTAGACATATAATAATGTAATCTATCAGTAGTTAGTACGCATCATCAATTACCTTAGGACTTAAAAACTTATACTGAATAATGCGTGAAATTAATGTTAATGTTTTTGCAAGAAAATAAAGCAATTATCAACGTGCACCAAAGCAATAAATGTTTTGTTTTTGTTTTTTTTGCTAACAAAAAAGTAGATTCACTGATAAATATTAAATCAATCCGCATCACAGATAATCTTTACTCAAATCAGTTTACCCAAAGTGTTTCACAAGAGAACTAAAAGCATCAACTGCAGCTAAAATTTAAAACTAAAAATACGACAATTCTATGAAAATTCTACGCCACAACAAGATATAAAATCTGCTCAAAAAC